ATGAAATATAGATATTCAATCTACTCATTTGTAGTAGCCATAGTTCATTTTTTTGTAATATTTGACCTTATCCATTAACAAACTCCTAAACAAATCAGAATTAAATTAATATTTTCACTTTAAAAAAACAGTAATATTATTGAAAATTTCATTGGATCACATAGTTACTTATACTTGAACCAAATGAGTTTTATTCTTTAAAGCTTACATACTTAGTTTCATATATTTTAATAGTTTCATATATTTTAATAGTTTCATATATTTCATTAGTTTCATAAATAGTATTTATCTCAATATTACTACGTAAATTAATAGTTTCATTTCATTTAAAACCAACAGTTTTATTTTTATTAATAATTTTGCATATCAATTGTTTCACATATCAATAGTTATTGATAGTATTCTAACTAATAGTTTCACTGACCACTGACAGTTTACAAGTGACCATATTATAACTTATAATTACATTTCAAACAATAGGCCTACTGATAGTTTCAATTTAATTGTTTTACATAATGTAAACTGGAAGTTGGCTAGTATAATTTTGTCAAAAGACACTATAAAAATCATTTCTTTGTAGAAAAGTTAAAATGAAATCAAATGAAATCACAATTCAGTCAATGAGGTTATTGATTGATAAGAAGTATTGTGTATAAAAGAGATATCTGAGTACCAGTACATATCAATATTATTATTGTATATGAATCTTATAATCAATTTATCAATTTTCTATTTGGGCACACCATTATTGTCATTTTGTATCCATGACATGCAGTTTTATAAAATACCATTGTGCACCTTATTAGGTTAAGTTATGTGGATAAAAATCAGATAGGAAAAAGTATAAATCCTGAAACTAATTCAATATTTAAGGACCAGAGTTTCATTCTGCTATTTCTGAGGCTAGATTTTATTATGGTTCTGGTGAGAGAATTTCAATGATAATTTCTTGTTATGTCATGGTGAGTATTTTTTTCATCTTCCCAGGTGGATACTGAGATCTAAATGTCATATCCAATGGTGGGGTTTCTTTTTTTATCATTCTTCTGATTGGATGCTGCAAAAATTCATTCCTTTATTCAGTGATGTGCTGAATTGAGTTTACAAATGATGCAATTGAGATGTTTAATTCTAAATATCTACTTACTAATATCCTGGTGGACATGTTAAACACACCCCACTGTCATAATATTCTCCTGCATTACACGAAATAACACAATCTTCTGTACAGTTACATTGTCCTTCTACACATACTGTAATAAAACCATACAAAATTCAGTTACAGTACTAACATTGTTTTCAAACGATCCTATACCTTCATATAATGTAACATTGTGAATCAAAAGCGATTGTAAGTAGTTCTTATAAAACTTTTATGTGTATTGGAGACACTGAAAGCATGGATTTGCACCATTCCATTTTTCAGATGTCGACGGTAAGCATTGCTATTAGATATTATGAACAGTCGTCTTGCATCCCTCTGGATCTACCTGTGCTTACAAATTAGAAATGAACACATCATTATTGTTAGATGTAACCTGAGTTTCCATACTCCAAAAATTATGTTTTAAAATAATATGATATGTTTAAACGTAGTCTCCAATGTAGTTGTTACTAATGTCAAGAAGGGATCAGTAATAATTTCTCATATTGTTTATAACAGGATAAATTATCAACAGTATGTTTTAATTAAGTTGTTAAAAATCCCTAACAGTACATCAGTTTTTAACTCTGAAAATTGCTATGAATAGTTGAAATCGCTTTATCAGCTGGTTATGCAAATTATACTTAGACAACCTTTCAAAAATTGTGAAAATTTGAGGAACATCAATGTGGCTTGTCAGGTTTTGGACCAAGCAATGATATAGTGGCCCATATGATGAAATTGAAATTCTTGTCTCAATGAAAGGTTTGCCAGTAGAGGGGAGAATAATTCATTATGAGATAAAGCACTAAAATATGACAATTGAAAAATTCAATTTAAGAATCAATAAAAATGGAATCTTACCAAATATTTCCAACAGACAGCATAATATTCCGAAATAGAAAACAGGTTTAAAAACCATAATCCTGTCAAGAAATCAAGGCACACCAATTCTAGAGGCCTTCTTTCAAATAGTCTTCGAAATTGTCCTGCTTCACTTATCTTACAACCTAAGATTCTCTTCACTTAACTCGTCGTTGTCTCCAAGTTTTTTTAGTTCCTTATTCCTCGATTTTTTTCCCGAAAAGTGTATAAATTTGTATCAATTCTTGGCTTTTCGAACGAAAATAGTAGCCTGATCACGAAACAGATACAAAATTTGTCATTTTATTCAACCATTTACAACGACTACGAAAATCATAAACAGGCAGACGAAATTATTTTCGCTTGATGTTATTTTTCTTGGTACTTGCACACCTGAGCAAAGGGGGATAACTAGACAGGTATGAGCAGAGCTGAAAGCGTTACGTTGCTTGGCAACAAACTAGTAAATAAATATTGGGCATTTCATAATCACAGCCCGCTACCGGTTAGAGTACTGGTGTGTTTTATAATGAGGTGGATATTCTTACAGGATATTAGATTATTTAATCAGTAATAAATATCCCATTTCCCTGTCGACGTCATGATTTAATCTATTTGCTCAAACACGCGGCGTTGTCTAACTTGAAATCACGTAGGGACCAAGCGCAAAGGCTGATCAAATTTTGATCAAACTAGTTTTGGCTCTATATTCTCGTTAGTGTCTTCTGTGCCGTAAGTGGAATTATTTCCTGAAACAGATCGAATTTCAAATGACATTTTCTAATTTCATATCCTACAGTCTAGGCCAACACGGCAACAGTTTTCCAAGCTATCACTTGCGACGGTTTTCATCAACTTGATACCCCTTATGATGTCCACACACAGATAATAATGTTATTCGATTTGAAAAAAAAAAATTGTCAACAATTAAATAGGGCCTCTTTGTGTGTGGTAAATCAAGGGCTATAACTACATTAACTGTACATCGAAATGTCGTCCACTTTGTCACGTGCAATAGGCTATAACTAACTGAAAATTGTTAATCCAGCTATCGTCAATCATTTGTTCAGTTCTCTATTGAAGTTGATAACTACAAAGTTTTGTATCAAACAAACCCAGAAAAAAGTGTATATATACATTTGTAGGTGCACATATTTGAAGGTTGGTTAGTTCACAATACATCAAAAAATATATAGTTTATAGGAAATTAGACACGCTCAATGAGGATTATATTTACCTTTTGAATAGAATAATATTTTAATCCAATAAGTGTTTATTATATTATAATAAACACTTATTGGATTAAAGTTTGATACTCCCTAATGAATACAATTTATAGTAAAGCTCTTTATCTATAAAACATAATACAGCACGAGTGCAATTCTTTATCGTATGTTTTGATCATAAGCCTACGTACGGTAGAAGCATGAATCGTAGCTTCTCAAAAGTTACAAGCTGGGCTACTGCTTTGGAGACGATATTAATTTATCCGTGACTCCATATGAGTCGGCAACTTCTATCAGTTAAGCTGAATGTTGCAGATCGTCAGTGAAACTTTCATGGTAGACTCTTTTGATCCAACGATAGTATCAAAGGGTAGGCCTATTATTTATTGTTCTAAATGGTAGTGATGATATGGATCTGCTAAAAGATAACGGGTTATATGTACAGGCATCTGTTTCTATCAATAGTCGACCCTCTCTATAATAGTATATATATATATTATTATAGAGTGAGTCGACTATTGATAGAAACAGATGTCTGTGGTTATATGCCGAAAATCTAGATATCCAACTTTAAAGTATGTTGTATCTAGCCAATATAAGGTGTAAATATCAGTTGATAAGATAGCTTTATGCAGATATGAGACTCCACCCTGCCTTATAAAGAATTCTAGGATTAATTGATAGATTAACACCTACAGATACGGCCTGGTATTTCCACCGTAATATAAAAATTTAGAAATGTTTCGTTCCTGTCAGGTAAGGGAAGAAGTTTTCTATATTAGGCTATGTATTCAAGCTATATTCGGACATTGAAAGACCTAATCTCTTATATTATCTGGACTCACATTTAGGATCTAACTAATATGCTTGGGACACTTAACTATGGTCTTGGCCCTATATAGGATTGTAAAGAGGTTTATTAATCTGTGTATATTGGCCTACATAACAATTTTCAGTCAGATGTCTGTGGGTCTTGTAATTCATCTATGAATAAAACTGATAAATCATTAGCAGCTATCGTGATAAAATTAATTTAAGGTTAAGCGTTTCAATTAGCCTAGTCTACATCTGACAAAAAATTGGATTGACGCAAATAAACGTTTGGCTCGCATCCTACTTTTTTTATAGGTGATTGAGGCGTTGAAAATTCTGGATTTTGTCGCAGTCTCTATACATCATTTAGGTCTGTGCCACATAAACTTTAAACGGGTAGGCTAACAAATTTCCATATCAAAATCGTACATGTCAATAAAAGTCGCTCAATGAACAAATTTTACAAAAGCGCACTAATGGGAGATAACTCTTGTATATACTTTGTTTCATGTCGCACCTAATATTATTGGATTACTGCGAGGTTGACATTGGATTTTAAGTACAAATTTTGATAAAACATGTTAAATTGAATGTTTGGACAACATTCTTATATGCTGACAATATCAATCTGGACAGAAAGGGCGTCCAATGATCTGTAACCAAGTGAAATCGTTCAATCCTGTCGCCATATTTGTTTATAGTGGTTACATGAAATATTCCTCCGCTTAAAAAATATTATTACATAAATAAAACTAAACTTTGCAAATTGCAACATGAATTATTATAAATCTATGATTGCTTGATTTCGTGTAAGTCAACTTTTGCAAAATTGATGCAAAAAAATGAGAAAAATTCGAAATTTAAGACGCACTAAATTGAAAATTATTAGTACGCGTTGTGTTATGCGGCTTAAAGTAACTAACGGGATTGCTGATAAATTGTTCACCTGAAACCGTTAATTAATTATTTATCACAGGGTTTAATTGCTTTTCAGGTGTTTATACGTAATAAATAATGAGTAACGAAATCTCTAGACGATTTGAAGGCCCGCCTCAACCGAGAAGCGCGGCATTTTTAATGCAATGTGAACGTATCAGAGTAAGTTAAAGAAGGTTTTTTGACTCTGAGAGTTTCTGTAGCAAGCAATCTCTGTCAGTGCCCCAGTGGCAATGGCCGAACCACAGATCTGTCTTACTTGTTTTAAGCATTGCTTTAAATTTTTTTAAATTTCAGAAAGACGAAGAAACTGCTGATCAAGCTTTCCAAATACGATTGTAAGTAGAAGACCTATTTAGAAGCTTTTAGGTTACCCTACATCTCTAGTAGCCTGGATTTGTCTCCTCAAATCAAAATAGATATGTACCACATTTAACATAGCTCCTCTCCTACTTCTTGGGTCTATGGATGCCTAACTTTTTTTGATGGATTCATTTACTTTGCTCGTGGCGAGTGGAACAAATTAAAAGTTAAAATTTACCCTCTATTCCCAAATCTCTAGTCTTTAACCTATGATGGAATATTTATCTGTGACATTATAAAGTTATAATTTTGGCTCCTGTTTATAAGCATTTATAGGGTTTCAATATGATAAATATATATTCTTTTAAATTTCCAGAGATAAGCAGGTTAATGAAAGAGCTTTATGGAATGAACAATTAGAAGAAAAATGTCAATATAAAAGATTAAGACAAAATATGAAATTTATAGAGGGGGAATTAACAATGGCTAAGAAAGCATCAATAGAGGTAAGTCATTAACTTTGTTGGTCTTATCTGATCTATGCCTCAGAATACTGAAGGAGAAATCTTTTGAAAAAATAAAGGAAATTATGCAGGATTAAAAGTCTGCACTGTGTTCCATACGCATAAGGGCAGAAATGAAATATAACTTAATAATCATTCTTTGTTGCAATTTTCATTGATGACATCTTATTACCCTATATGAAATTCTACATGGTTTATTGAGCTTTATCTAATGGTAAACGAAAATTTAAACAACTTTTCCCATTTTTTTTGTAATGACAATATTATTTTATCTTTTTAAGATTAGAAGAGTAGCTCTAAAACAACAAATAGATCAAGATAAAGATTTATATGATAAGGAACTTTTGTCTCAAGGAAAAACTTTCTATAAGCAAAGAATCTAAGAGTGTCAGAAACTGTTTGGAAGAAAAGAATGTAAAAGACAGTTAATTGGAAATACTATGGTAAAGATTTGGAAACACTATGGAAAGATTTGGAAATATCACAGAAAAACTAGGAAACAATCCAGCAATGTTCAATAATTAATAAATTTAATGTGTTTAAGAATTGAACTTTAAGCAATTCTTTGCTTGGTAGATTTAGAATGGCAATGGGGAACTTAATATTTTTCAATTGCTTATTCAATTACATGTATAAACAAAGTAAATAATCTCATAAATGTTGGCACAGAAAATAGTAGAACGCAAGACATTTGTATCCATATGGATTTCTAATGATTTGTACTTATTCAAACACAAAAGCTTTTGTCAGCTGCTTATTTCATGTAAGTCTTTCATAAGACTTAATAATATATGCAAGTTTAATTATAACCATTCAGCATTATTCCTTCAGATTTTAATTATTTTGATATTATTTTATGTGATAATGTTATATATGTGATACTATTATAAAATTGATGTTGAATTTCATCTACTTTGTCCTTATTTTCATTAATATCTCTGCTGAAGATTTATCAAGAAATAAAATGGATTTTTTTGAATTATGACAGAGCATCATGATAATTTACAATCTATATTTTCAACTATCCTTAGACAGAGCTTTCAAATTACCCCTCTAACAATTTCTATTATTCAATTTGTTTGTTTGAAAATAGTCCAATACGTAGTGTCAAGACCATTTATATATTATTTACATCATTCCAATTTTTATTAGCGACATATATTGCCTACTGTTAGTTTTAGTGGAACCGAAGACATCTGATTGAAAATTGAAAAAGTGCAAATCAATATTATTCAGAGTCTCTGTTACATATATATAAAATTTTTAAAAACCCTTATTAATCCCTTTCATAATGGCAACCTTTGGAACATCTTAGGTGCATAATATTTCTTATAATGAATTTTGATTATTCCAAATAAGTAGAAAAAATAAGCAATATTTTGTATATGTGGTAAACTTAAATTCATATACATCAAGTTTTAATAAATTAACAATGAATATAAACCAAAGCCTTAGATAATTCAAACCTGAACAATCAATTTACCAGATATTACTTATAATAGTGTATACACTTTGAAACCAAAAATATAGTTAGCCTATATAGTGCCAATGATATTATATTGAAGTTTTGAGAATTTTCATCAAAACACATACTTCAAAATGTTCTCAATCAATGATAGTTATATATAACTTTAAAATGGTTAAGGCACATTGTTTAGGCAAAGTGATAACGAGTTACAAAATATACTTATGATGATAAAGTAATCTAAAAGCACTTAATAAATGTTTTTATCTATAAAAGAACAGTAAATTGCAATTCAGTGAAACAACAGTGTTATGGATACATTGGCCGATAACATAAAATCGGCTGCAATGATATTGGCAATTAACAGCAAGAATATGTTAGTATACTTCCACAAAAACCAGTCTAATTAAACTTAATCCAAACTGACAAATGTTCAGGCCGTCTTTAGATCTTTACTGAAATGTGTAAATTAAAAATAAAAGCTAATAAAAAACAGAACGAAAGTTTGGTCTACTTTTATTTAGACTGCCACAAAATATAACTTAAAGACTATACTATCTAATTTGTTATGAAATAATGAAGTGCTATAAGAAGGAATAAAACAGTTTCTGCCCTATAAAGTGCAACAATGATGCGTTGAATATGAAATAAAATATTAAGCCAATGTATGACCTGGATTTCATTACGAGACAAAAACAAAGACTAGAAACAAAAAAATTAATATGTAAATCAAAGCACATAAAAAATATAAGTCGCAAACATTAAATACCAATAAGAAACCATTTTAATTAATAAATATAGTTGAACATGAGATTCTATAAAACAAGATTTTATAATTTACATACCAAAACAAATCTAAACTTTACACAGATATGTGACTTCCAAGGTCTTTTAGCAGAGAAAGCATATAATTTGATCACACAATCCCTTCAAGTAACCATTAATGCCATATAGGACAATATGGAATGCTTAAAAAACAAATCTAAAACTATTCAAGTCTTAAAAAAAGGACCAAAATATGTCAAACATAACAAAACACCAATTAGTATAAAAAAATAAATAATTATTATGAATATATAAAGTTATATTATGATCCCATATTACCAAATATCTATAAATAAATAAATTGCCATGTGTCTTATTCTATAGTTGACTGGTTTGTTTCATTTTTTTATATAATATTCAGTCTGGAATGTTTCTTTATAATCAACAAATTATTTGATGAATGAAATTTCTTTTAAAAATCGTCATTTCTAAGGTAAAAAACACAACAATATAGAATAAGTAACGGCTTTTTTTCAACAGTCGAAGTATTCGTGTTTGGTTCAAACCATAAAAAAGATCAGTCCACTTTATTTTTAGGTAAAATAAATAGTAATAGAAACTATACAAGCTATACTTATATTGTGTAAATTCCCTAAAATTTACGTGGACTGGGTGTGATAAATACCTTTGCTCAACTTAATTACCATATTAATCCAGTATTTTAATATTTTGATTAGTATTCTGTTGTTTTTTTAAATTTAATTATTTCAATGCACACAAAGTAATATTTAACAAAAACACAAGACAATAATGGAATACATAATATCACATAGAATTCAAATATCATTAAAAAATAAGAACCCAAAAATTTAATATCTGGCCCACATTTTGCAATTGTCATATAAGATTGCCATTTCATTACAATATTGGTCTAGATATTTTGTTTCTTTTTGTTATGTGAGTTACAAAACTCATTCTACAATTGTGAATGAGTGAGGTATCACAGATTAAAGGAATGAAACAAAACATCTTGAGAATTGCATATTAGTAAGCAGGTGAAACAGTAAATGTTTGACTACATTCAAATTGTTTCCCAGCTTCAAGAGTGACCGGTTTATTAACCTTACCCCCTTCTACACAAATCATATTCTTATATTCTTCATCACCAAAATCAGACATTGCTTTAGCTTTCTCTGTCCATGGATTCCATAGAACTAAAAAAAGATCAACATATACTGAAGTCATTTTGAGTTAAGAATATTACCTGACAGATGGGTATAAAATAACTTTTCCATGAATGACAATTGACACTTGAATTTAAGGTAATGCTTCATCTATATGAAAACTTGTCAAATTAATATATGCAACCCCTCTTGCAATTAATATGCAGTTAAAGTATTTCTATGTTTTCCTCTCACTAAGGTCCACTATCAGTTTTCTTTCTAAATATAAGTAGCCCTCAGATGTGATGTAGGCCTAGAAATAAAAATTATTTCCTTACCTATATCTGGTAAATTAAATGTTTTGATATTTAAATTATGTTGACCACATCCAATATGACTGACATCAACATGAGTAGGACAAGCAATGTACACCCTGAAAACAGAACAAATCCAGGTTACATATTTATAATCTAGTTCACCATCTTTACAATTTAATTGATCTAAATTCACATATCATTTTTGGTGCAGTTGGACAGCTCATTGAGTATACTATCGGGTTGTCATCTGATAAGCTTTTGGGTCTGAACCCTTTTAAAGAACAAAAGTTGATGCCAGTGCTTTTAAGATCAAATTCAAACCATGTCATTGGAATTCAGACATAGATGAGTCTCCAACATTCAGCCCTTGGATCAATACGCCATAATATCAACAATTGTTAATGAGAAAAACCAGACTACTGCATCAAAGGACTAGATGTCGATAGAAAAATGTAGTTCTATATGAAATAGTGTTTACCTGTCATAATTTTCATCCATAAAAATATTTTCTCTCTTTTCAACATCAGTTCTGTTGTTATTCACCTATCAGAAAATAAAATTATTGCTCATGGATATTTATAGTTGGATACATAGATTTTATATCAAAATAATGCTTTTCTTTATCACAAATTTCATATGTATTCATATCACCAAAATTGTGATATTCTGTTAATGCATGTTGAAATTTTATACTTGCACAAAAAATGTCTAATATATAGAAGATTTCAATATACCTTGTCAACATATTTAACACCATTTAAGCCATGTACAGAGGTATTTAAAATATCAGGTGTACGAATGTAGGAATGGAGTAATGTAGAAAACCCAAACTCCTTTTGATCTAAAAATATAATCAAATTTATTATCATACTATTATATTATCCTTGGAAAAAATTATAAGGCAGCTCACAACTTCAATTCTGTTCTTTTAAAAAAAATACGAAAGCAAATGACACTGTTTGTTTTGCATTATATTTAGACTTAAACAAGAAATTCTTGGTTTAGTTTTAACCATTGAGTGGATTTGAGCTTGATAATGACAATAATTAATAGTCCTCTAATGGTGATCATTGATTCTAATCTTGGTCAGCATGTGAATGGTTGATGAACTTGAATAAGTTATCTTTCTTTAGACTTAAATCCAACCTAAGTTGTTATCTTTAAAAAAAAAAAAATTGTTTCTCTTTCATTTTCAGTTGAAAGCAGACATTGTATATAAAACATATATAATATTTATTAGGTTGTTGCTATTAAGAAACAACAGTTTTATGGATATAAACTTATATTTAACATTTAAACACAATCTTTCATTACACATACAGATAATGTTCCTTGTTGTGTTTAAAAAAGTTTATATCCATAAAACTGTTGTTCTTAATGTGTACTTGTGATACTTCTAAATGTTTTACAAGGATTAGGTTGTTGCTCTATACAAAAGAAATACACATACCTTCATTATGGATGGTTAGATTCATGATAAAAGCATTTTCTTGCAATCGTAAAGAATAAACAACTTTAAATCTAAAATAGGACAATGATATCAAATATGAATGCCATAGGGCAATCCATGTTAAAATGAAGCAAAGCAAAATCAAGCAAATGAAGCAAATACATAATTGAACTGAAGGCACTTCCAACTTTAGGTCATTGTTTCAAAATTGATTCATTTACCTCCATTCATTAATGAGGAAGGTTTAAACTCAAAATTAATTCTGTCATTCATATTAACAAGCGATTATTAGAGTTTAGAATTCTTACTTGTAATTCCACATTTGTCTTGTTTCTTCATCATCTTGTAGAGATAACATAGCTATTACTGTACCCTTACTGTCCTTTAATACATTAAACAAACAAATCATATATTTGCCATTTTTCAGATATTCACTTAAACCTTAATTTCATTTCTTGCATCCTTTCAATGAGTCAACATATAAATACAAGTATTTGAAATTTAAATCTCCATTTCCAAACCAAGTGATATGATGATTGATTCTATATCTGAAACATCGGTTAACAACACATTTGAGCTTTTATCAATTAAGAAATTCAGTTGAACAGGCATATAAGGAAGTCAGAAGTTATCCATTTCGAACCTTTGTAGGTGGTATCTCTGAGTTCCATCTCTTGATTCTACAAAATCCATGTTGAGGTCCTGAAGCCCAAGGTCCAAACTGAGCTGAAATATAAAAAAATATTGATTATTACAGACAGCAACAGCAGCCCTATTGTATGAAAAAAGTTGTTTTAATCAATTAAAATCATATATCTCTTTTCTTTTTCATAACTATTTCAATTTAAGATATCTTTCTTAAATTTTAACAAAGTAGGTACTTACGAAATACAATAGGTATTCCACCTCTTATAGCTTTTTTGCCATCAAAAACAGACTTTTCACTAAAATGAAAATAACCAAACATGATTATCAATTACTAACTACAAATGTTCCTTGAATCAAGCTCATCTGAGGGAATAACATAATACGTTTGTCAACTAAGTTGCAAAATGTTCATAACCTGTTTACTTTTGTATATCAAATGAATCTGGTACATATCAAATAAAGGTAAGCCTATGTCAAATGCAGAAGAACACTGATTATAAAGAACATTACCTAACAAATAACATTTCTTTACCGTTTACTTTCCATGATAACACTGTAGCACCTTTAATATAAAATAGGGAAAATTTACTAAAGCAGAAAAATTTGGCTGAATCAAAGTGTTACCTCTAACTTATACTGTACATAAATCAAAAAGTGCATATTCCTGGCATAGCAGACAAAAGAAGATTAGGCATAATGTTTGAACAAATCTATGTGTATTTTAATGAACCAGTGCATTACTAATAGGATAGGTAAAGATAAAAGTCACAAAGTGTTTCGTCAAAACATTGAAGTAGACATTTTGTAGAAATTAATCTACAACTCAACTGCTAACTGCCTATATAGGGCCTAATCATTTACTGACATCCAGAAAGGATTCATGGAAAATTATTAAATGAACAGATGTAAATCATTGATGTAATAAGGTTTGCAACATATTCCTGGTAAATTAATAATGGCCTAGTTTTCCCAGAGTTACCCTAAATAACCATCAATAAAAGTAAAACTTGACGTGTATCTTACCATGAAGATGTATTAGAGCAGATGTTCCATTGCCAGCATCGAGAAATACAACATCACTGGCTGGAAAATGTTGTGGAACCTGATTGTGCGACATTTTTCAAAATATTTCTTGAAAATGATAATTCGTGATTTGATTAACAAGTGGTCTATTTCAGTCTGGATAATCTTTCTATATCTACGACAGACATCAGGAAAAAAAGGCCGTTCATCTCACCAACAAAAATCAAGTTCATCATACATGAACACCGGAATTTACCCAAAAGCAATCAAATTAAACCCTTAAAGCCCCCATTAATCTGACTTTATAAAGAGAAAAAGCTGTCACAACCATTCAGCCAAATGTTGCTCAGATTATGATATTGATCAAGATGTTTGATTTACACAAGGGAGATAATTCAAGGTATTTGTGGGCTGGAAGAAAGTACAATCGGTAGGGTTGAATGAATGGACTATAATAAATGATGCATATTATTATATAGCTCTTTATTACGAAGTGGAAGTATAGAACTGTATACAGTTCTAAGGTGGAAGTCACTTTTGCTTTGGGCTTGACTTACAGTTACTGACAATAATTTTTGCTCCAGTTTATAAAACGAAGACGGATAATGTCAGAGGACCATTAGGGCAATTTTCTCCTGGTTGACTCACACTTATTTGAAACAGCTAGACGCTCCAACATGAAACTTGATGAGGGATTTAAAAACTCATCTGAAAATTCCCATAGACGAGGCTTTTGAAAACTATTACTGCCAACCATCAGACAAGCAAATGGCCTCCAAGCATGTGTTGCACTTTTGAGCACACCTGTTCACTACTTAAACAGTCACAAAACAAAAAGAATACTCTGTTATGTATTTTTAAATGATTTTTCTCTAAATTGATTATAGGGATACATGTATTTTGAACACATATTTACATTTAAATACAAATCAATAAAAAATAAGACAATTTTTTTTTATTTGTTTATTCTTCTGAATCTTTTTTCTCTACAGAAAATGCTTCATCTACTTTAATACTACCAGAATCTGCTATTTCTACATCTTTTTCTGGTTTATCTCTACTACTTGTTTTTGTGTTTTCTATTTTTCTTACTACTTTCTGCAATAGAAGAGATAAATCATAACTATTGACATATCAATTCAACTACTTCCCCAAAAAAGTATGGGGTTTCTTCTATGGAGAATAAAAAAATCATATTAAGAAAACCTTAAAATGGTGAGAAAACACATTAATGTGTGAATGTCAAACACTAAGATATGAAACAAGAATAGACTCTTTATGCCATTTCATTCAGGCAAACTTAACATGCAGCTGTAGTATTTAATAATCCAATAAGGCACTAAAATAGTTTTCATTTTATCCTATCAAACACAGCTTATTTATCTAATGCAAGGACTGACAATTTATTTAATCCCATAAATGGCTTTTTATGACAGTTTATAAGAGAATTTACTTACCATTCCTTCTAATACTTTACCAAAGACAACATGTTTACCATCTAACCATGAGGTCTTTTTCGTTGTTAAGAAAAACTGAGATCCATTTGTATCTTTGCCAGCATTAGCCATAGATAACCATCCAGATCCATAATGTTTCAGTTTAAAGTTCTCATCAGCAAACTTTTCACCATAAATGCTTTTACCTTTTAAGAGAATATTATTTAAAAGTGTTATGCAAATTATGGTCACTATCAAGAACATTTTTCATCAACATCTAGAAACCATATTGGTTATCCTTATTGATATTGACAAGAAGAGGTCATCGTATGCTGCCAACTCATGTCTCAGATGTCAAATTGGCACCAAGACAGTCAGAACTGAATAGGAGGTAAACGGAATAAACATGAATCAGAAGCCAACATTGAGACTATTCTACAAAGATTTACAACTCAAATCCAACATTAAAGCATCCGAAGCATTGTAATTTCACAATGTTTAAGGAGTAATGCACTAGTATTTAATAGGTATAGATCCTTGCAAATACTGGAAATTATTGCTTCTCTTCTTAATTTGGAGTACTGCATTGGAATTTTAAGTATGAACAGACATTAAGTTAAAACAATGACACATGGCATAATTATCTAATAGGCATACAATTGCAATTGAAAATTACCTCCAGTTCCATCTCCTCTAGTAAAATCTCCCCCTTGAATCATAAAATCTTTAATAACTCTGTGGAATTTACTTCCTTTGTAAGTTAGAGTCTCACCATCTTTTTCCTGAAACATTCAAAAACAAATTATGTAAACAAAGTCAAAACTACATTTCTATTAAGCAACGAAATATCTTAAAATTACATCAGAGATTTTTAAACTGACATAAGGAGATCAATCATGACCGGAAAAAGATGTCCGATATGACAGAGTTCACTGTAGTTAGGTGCTGTGGGCTTGAATTGGACATCCCAACATTATGAAGACATGTCATTGTATACTGTAAACTCATGATGAAACAAAGCATACTTACAAAGCCTTCAGCTAATTTCTTGAAATTATCAACTGTTTTAGGTACTGTTTTTCCAAATAAGCCTATAACTATACGTCCTACATCTTCTCCACCAATTTTAATGTCAAAATAAACCTGTAACATGTAAATACAAGAATTGATACTCTGTGACTTGTAAATTCTTCAAATTGAATTGTCTGCAGGACGTTCAGGCCGAACTGTTTTGAATTATTTGTAAAAGCCTTTCATAATTCATTTCTAATTTGACTGAGTGAAAGTCTAAGTAAGACTAAGTAAAGTTTCATTCAAACATGGGCAAATACTACACTACACTAGCTAGTGGTAATGATAGCCTAATGGTTTCAAAAAAGTTCTGTGTGTTTAGCATGCAGTCTGCAATTAAAATTCCTTTTGAAATATGTAACTTCAAAGTGATTGCATAACAGTATAAAATGGGAATAAAATTTAAAAGATCCACACATGCAAAAAGAATTAATGAAAGGTAATAATAAAAGTTTTAGAAATAGACTAGTTTCGGACTAACCTTGTCTGTAACTTTTGGTCCTTTTGGTTTATCTGCTCCAAACACAAAGGCGGGCAAGATGAAACATAGAATGGCAGCAAGACCGAGCATGATTATGATCTTAGTTCTTGGCGTCAGCTTTGATTTAAATGCCCTATTTAACCGAAAAAGAGTGGCAATTTTGATGCCGTGGGCTTGAGCTATCTGTTGTTGTCGACACGGGACAAAAAAGAGGAAGGATATAATGCAGATCGCACCGACTGAGGTGGGAAATGCTGATTGGTTAATCAGTAGACTCGAACAATTAGACGCCAATCGGGTGTGGTTACACGTCGATCATAATTTGCATGATCCGCTCTAGAAGGTTTTGATCAATAGATTATTCATTGACCTTATTCAGTCAAGACATACAGTTCTAAGATGTGGCATATATTATCAAAATGTAAAAGACAAACGTTTTCCTATAGTCCGAGAAACTATTACTCTTTACCTTGATTCATCAAGGGTATAGGAGTAAGTTTCAAGATCTTATATTCTTGTCAGTGACAATAATCCACCCACTGGTCTATTTATATAGATCAGTGGATCCACCTATTTGTGCTAATTAGCCTAATATTTTATTTGTCCTTAAAAACACTATGATACTTGAAGTATCTACGCAAGATAAGTGAGTATGAAAGATGTGTATCAGGCTAGCATGAAGCCGACCGGAAGCATGAATTACTCCTTCAAACTCCTTTTTCTTGCCAAGGACCTCAATTTTTAACCAAACAAAGATAAACTTTGTTAAAAGCATAGTATTTATCTCAGATTATTTCATTGTGGGTGGCCACTTTTGAATAATTCTCTCCCCTAGCTTTCCTTTTATGTCAAAGTATTATAATTTAGATTAAAAACAAAATTGACTGAAAACTGAACTTTGTTTTAATAAGATGAATGAATGAAAAATGAAAGAATGAAATTTGTTAGGACATACTTAAATATAAAACTCGAAATCCTTGAATATCATGTAATAGCTATATGTTCATAAATGTATAACACAACATAATGGAAAATTTCTATTTGACTAGTTATGCTGAAATCCTGTGGTGTGCAGCTGCTGTACATGTGAAATTCTGATGATTTTGTTCAATATTTCATTTGAACTAGATGTAAATGGAGACTGATAATCTGGATCAGGGCACCATTCATTAAAAAATCTTTCCATTAGAATTTGTCGTAATTGTGGAATTTGACATTGAGAAACATGAAAAAATTGACCATTCATTATTTGTGGAATGATGCCTGGTTGAGGACAGATCTAAAGGTTTAATTACAATTGGCTATGTGTCAATCAAATGTGCTTTATTAGGACCTTTAGAATTGGTTTATATCAAGGGCCTTAATTCATCAAGTATCCTTGCACTCTCTTCATGTGATTTATGAAAAACTTGTTTTTTTAATCAATTACAGTTTTCTTCCAAAAATATATTAAGTTTATGGACCAAATTTCTTGACATGATTTCTTTTCTTTGTTTTTGTATTTGCCATGATTCCAAATTATTATTTTTTCTTGTTAAAGTAAGCGTCCACGACATTGTGAAGACCCACAATAGCAATATAAGACTTTATCTGGTACACTACCAACTTCATAATTATAATCCCAAGTCAACTCAGTTCCGGCTCTGATATACCTAGAAAAAAACGAATATTGAAATGGTAATATACAAAAGAATAACAGGATATGTCCATAATTGATAAAATAATTATCTAAATTAGAAGAGAATTACCAGCAGAATTCCAATGTGTGACTGATCAAGAAAGGTCAAAAAGTCTTTATTTGTTTATCCAGACTGTACATACATGGACATTTATTGTTGGTAAAACTCTTAGTTATGTGCCATAAGAACATAATGATATGATGAAGAATACATGATAATTCATTATAAACACCAATTAATCAAATAGTTTGCTTAATTTGACACTAAAAAATAAGGAAACCCATCTTTAAAGAGAAAGAATATTAACTAGTACTTACATTCCTGCAAAAAATGTTACCCACGGATATCTTAAATCATGAGTGTCTACGAATATATTCTGTACAAATACATTGGGTTCACAACTATGCTGTAAAATGAAATATCAGTAAGTTAGATTTTGGTTTAAATTGTTGGATGAAAAATGGATGTAAATTTCATCCTGTCTATGATTTTGGACATTCCCTTAAAGGGATTAGGAAGAGGTTTTCTTAATTATTTTTGAGTATCAGGGAGGCTGATAGCATCAATTTACAGTCAGACATGTGGTTATTGTAATTCTGCTAAACCAACTATTGCAAAAGTTTGTTTTGATGGTGATATAAAATGCATAGTTTCAGTGGAATTGCAAGAACCATACACGTCTGACTGAAAATTGGAATGATGCAAATCAGCGTCCCCAATACACATAAAAAGTTTAGAAAACCTTTTTACAATTCGTTCATCTTTGAATTAGTCAAGAATCATATAACTTACATTTAAATAGCGTCCTATATTGCCCATAGATTTAGCATCCATGATATAGCACATCTGATTGTCTTCAAAAAAACTTCTGGTGCCAGGATGATTTGGCCTTTTATCTGCAAGAAAATTTACCACATATATTGCAACAGGGTTTGCAAAATAAAATTCACTTATTCAGTAATATCTTGCATCATATTGAGCTTAAAATTGGAATGATGCAAATATTATAAATATGAAATAAGAGGTTTGGCCAAGGACCAGCTGGTAGAAAGGATCCTTAATTGTGAACCTTAGTTGTTATCCTTTCTTTCTTTTTATAATGGCAGATGCAAGGCAGTTGAAATATTATCAAGATAAAAGCTTCAGTCATTAATGCAAACAGATTGTAGAACATAGGAAGGTTAAATTTTCTTCAGTTATTTCAACTCTCTTCCAAAACATGGCAAAAGGAAATGTATTAAAATCAGCATTTATTTTACAGAAACCACATTACAATAAAGAAATTTTCCAGAAGCTATAAACCTTAACCTACCTGAATCTTTATGAAGTTTAGGATTAGGTAAATTACCAAATCTAGAAATACCAGTACTTTTTCTTGCTGTAATAGAAGTTAAAGTTCTCAATATGATTTCATGTCTCCAAAGTTACAGGAATAACCCCAATAATACTTGTCCATCAGAAACTGGTGTGTTTGTAAGCAAGTTTAAAATAACAAAATTATTTTTATTTACCTGTTCTTTTTTTTCCTGTATCAGAATCTGAATCTACAAAGAAAAATGTTCAGATATGAAATGGGCTGAGTTAAGAGGTAGAAATCTCTTATTTCAGTTTTAGATTGTCCTGGCAAAATTTCTCTCATTGAACCCTGCATGGCGTTGCCCATGTTTGTTAGCCCACATGCTGCAGAAAAGTAAGACTCCATTCATTTCATTTTTACAAAAAATCTTATGATCAATTTTGTCATGTATTTCTCAATGTGAAATTCAACACTAAAGTGTACGTTATTACCAATTTTTGACGATCATGGACCTCTATGTAATTTATTTTGAATTTCAATCAAGGTATGATCGAGGTATGACTTATAGCTAAATATATTTCTCTAGTATAACATGAACAAGAAACTGAGCAATGTGTCTGTGAAATTAAATTGTCCTTACCAGAATCATTTTTTTTCTTATTTTCTGACATTTGTCTTGATACTGTAAATATAACAACATTGTTCATATTACTAGCAATACAAAAAACATTCATAGAGTTAATGGTTGTCCTTCATTGTTCTCATATGATAAGAGCATTAAATGTGTACAGAGACATCTGATCTACTTTGCCAACAATAGGTTTTGACTATTAAATTGCCTGGTGTATAGTATAGCCCTATACTGATCAAAGATAACTTATTCATTTAGCCTGATGAGTTCACCATGAAAATAACTTGTCTGGCAAAATATAACCTTTTACCTTCAACAACTATGGTGGTGATGCTTCATGACTTTAACTAATCCTGTTTTCAACAATGGAAAAACAAAAGCTCACTGACTTGATTACTGTATTACAGAAACAACTTACAAGATTTATCTGTATCAACATTAAAATCTGGTAATTCATCACTACTCTCATCTCTACTAATATCAGATTTATTTTTATCCTCTATCTTCTCTATCCAGTCAGCTGTTTTCTTCTCTGATGTCCTGTAGATTTTACAATAATTATTTCACTTTAATGTGATAGTCACACAAAAACCATACAAAATAGGGGTCTATGTAAACAGAAATGTTTTACAAAACTGAACCCTTTAAACATAAGAATTGCTGCTTTATCAGCCATGTATTTAAGAGATACAATACCCAAGCGGTTGGTGAAGCAGCTAAGATCAATTACTTAGCTTTCATAATATATTATTACATGTATATCATTATGGTGATATATGGTCATGCTATGGTGTTATTTATGGTAGGGTTGTGACAATATTATTTTTTTCTTGACTTTGAATGCATGTTATTTTTAGAGGTAAATTATATTGTTTATGGTAAATTCGATTGGGGCAGAGATGAAAAGTCTTTTTTTTGATTAGGGCAGAGCCCTTTTTCAAAATGGCAGCCAATATGGCGACCAAAAATTTATAGGGCAATAAACAATCAAGTTGAAGAAGATGATCCTTACCAGGCTTTATTAGACTGATCTCTCTTCAATACAATCTTTCCCACTTTACCATCATCACCATCAGATTGAGTACTGTTTTTTCTTCTATTTCTGGTAAATATTAAAACAAGTATAATTGTCTAATACTATGTAATGTTTATAACACAATAAATGTCAAATATTAGTATCAATTTAAAAGCAGTTGTAGCACTCCTAATATTTACTTTTCCACTACAGCAAAATTTATTTGCAATCAAATATACATGTCGCAGAAAATTTCCAGGACTGGTGTCACAGAAGACTTATTTGGAATCCAAACTACTGAGAGTTCTTGCTAGCACAGAGCCAGACAATCAACGAGTCTACAAAGAAATACAGCTATGTTTCCTTTAATCAGTGCAGAACAACTCTCAAATGCATCACCATGACAATGTGTTTGCTCAAAATGCCCAGAGCATGAAATATTTACCTTGTTGCATGAACTTTATCTCCCATTTCAGGTCCTCTACCAAAGTGAGCAGAAAATTCACTGAAATGATATGAATATATATGACAGTTGTACAGTAAGACAAGGTAATGGATTCAAATGGGTACATTTTCTCCAGTCTTTTTCACATTTGACATCCAGAAAGGAAAAAAAAAACAATACACAATAATAAAGATATTGTGTCAATCTGGTTTCTGCTCCAAATGCTAAATCATCTCATCCCAACGTAATGGGTTTTAAACGTTATCACCAATCAATTTGTATCACTGCATTACTGACCAGGTTTTATAAATCTCTATGTACTTTCTCGACCAATGACATGATCTAATTTTAGGATAGCATGAGCAAGTGCTTAACATGTAAAGCCATAATTGCTTCCTAAATCATACATAACAGGGTCCTCACCACCCAAGTCTTTCGTGAAATTAAAAACCTAAAACATTTCAGCAACATAACGTAATTAGGTAATCATACCTATCAGAGCCTGAATTATGTTGAGTTCCCTCAAATTCTTCTTCTTCTTCTTCTTCCTCATCTTCTTCATCAGCTATATCTTCTTCAATATGGCTGTCTGGTTCCTCTACATCACTCTCATAACCTTCTTTCTGTCTCTCGACTACTTCTATAAAATCTAATTCAGCTAGATATTCATCACCATATTGTTTACCATCCTGAAAAATACCAAAATATTCAATGATGTAACTGTTTTTATTTGATTTCTTTGTGAACTGATGATGAACTTTGACACTGACATACTGAGATTATCATTATAGACGAAATCCCCTATAGGAGAAGATGTGAAAAGATACTTTACCTCGTTAGCACCAGTATCTGTTAGTAGTTGACCAGCATAAATACAAATAAATCCTCCTTTAGGTATATCATCTAAACATCGTAATCCCCAACCTCTACAATAACATTTATACTTTGTAGCATGAATATACCATATTAAAACAAACTAAGGCCACACAAAATAAATAGCCTGTTTTACAGGCCCTTTTTTTCAAAAATTGAGGCGATAGGGCGCATTTATCATTTATAAGTGCTTTTTTAGATTTTCAACTGGAATAAATCGGAGCGAGCGCAAGCACTTAATATTTATTATCACAAATGTACATTTAATATTGAGGCAACAATCAGGCATTTTTGGGCCTGTAAAACAGACTATTTATTTTGTATAGCCTAACTTACATTTATAATCAACAGACAGTCAACAAATTGCAATGTAATCGCATAGCATAAACTCTGAGTAACAACATGTTTTTATGATTATGTATTAATATTTCTAATTATATATATATATAATAATGTTTAATGTGACAAGGATAGAAGAGATGACATTCAAAATAGTGTTTCATTATTTAACAATACAGATTGTATACCTTTTTTCTGTTTTGAAGACTTGTAAACGAAGATTTAGACCATTCTGTACAACTTTATTGTGACAACGCTTATCACATTTACAGTTAACATTACATTCTACAATCCTGTAATATAAATAAATATATTAGAGTTTTACTTCCGACTTATTTAATCAAGTCCATTTCTAATGCACGTAAGAACACACATTCCACAGCCAGAAATATTTTTGCTGACAATAAGTTTTTCTAGCTTAATCATTTCTAGTTCAGTTTGTTGGCTTAGACAGAAGTTACCCTATTTAACAGAATACAATGTATGTATTGATGAATTGGACACATTTTTGTTGGTGAGGAAGTCGAATTTGATTGGATGATTTTTTGACCAATGAAAATTATTACATACAGACTGTGCTTAACAATAATGTGTCCATGCTTAGTGACATGTAATAAGACAGTACTTACCCTGTAAATATTGGTTCATTTAATCTTCGGTGTTTATATCCTATAGTAGGATCTTTTTCACCCAATGCTGTGGTATGTTCTACTGAAAGCTGCCGACATGCACATTTACTAGAGTCCTGTAACAGAAAAAAACAAGAAGTTATGAACAATGTCATCTGTACCCTAAGAATTGTGCACTAATTTGGGGATGTTAAAACCTCCATTTGTACCATTCCAATTTCCCCTTTAACCATTTAGGTTGAAAGTATATTTGATAGTGATGTCACAGATTTAGTACTTACTCTACAGCCATCAGTACAATCACAGCCTGGTAAGAAATCAGGATCTAAATTTAGTTTGACACCTTTCGCTGGCATTCTTACAGTAGAATACTCTACATAATCAGGATACTGTCTATCTATACCATTAACACAAGATATCGGTACATTCTCTTTACCATAGGATAAATCTTTAATATCACAAAATGTCTGAAATAAATATAATCAAGACACTGTCTATCTATACCATTAACACAAGATATCGGCACATTTTCTTTACCATAGGATAAATCTTTAATATCACAAAATGTCTGAAATAAAGATAATCAAGACACTGTCTATCTATACCATTAACACAAGATATCGGTACATTCTCTTTACCATAGGATAAATCTTTAATATCACAAAATGTCTGAAATAAAGATAATCAGGATATTGTCTATCAATACCATTAACACAAGATATCGGCACATTCTCTTTACCATAGGATAAATCTTTAATATCACAAAATGTCTGAAATAAAGATAATCAAGACACTGTCTATCTATACCATTAACACAAGATATCGGCACATTTTCTTTACCATAGGATAAATCTTTAGTATCACAAAATGTCTGAAATAAAGATAATCAAGACACTGTCTATCTATACCATTAACACAAGATATCGGCACATTCTCTTTACCATAGGATAAATCTTTAATATCACAAAATGTCTGAAATAAAGATAATCAAGACACTGTCTATCTATACCATTAACACAAGATATCGGTACATTCTCTTTACCATAGGATAAATCATTAATAATCAAGATACTGTCTATCAATCAGTGATTGGTTGAAACATTTTTAACAGTGAACATATCAAACTTGATAATGTTGTCAGATTCTAAGGTAGAAGTTATCAACATACATAAGAAAAAGCACTATCAGAAATATAAGTTTACCTTAATGGGGACAAATTCTGTGTGTGTATGTAGGTATGGATCAAGACAAAATAAATCAATAGTAAGATTAGAGTTAGTTAATCTAAGATATCTATCTACTTCCTCTATGGTACGTAATCTTCTAGCACATGGTGTACGATAAATAACATGACGTTTACCACTCTGTTTAATCTTACATACATGTCTGAAATAACAATTATCAACATAACCTTTAACCCTTGCAGTTAAACTTTCAGCAAAACTACAAAACTAAACATGCAATATGTAAAGGAAAAGTGCCCCATGCATGATTTCTTAGATCCCTGTGTTTTCACACCCTGGGGGTGTGGACTGGGGTGTTGGACAACTGTTGTAGGAGTTTTTTTTTGGATATTATATGGTTCCAAAGAAAACAACAACATCCTTCCCACTGAGCATCTTATCGCTGCCGTATGATTATATATCCATTATTATGTGTGATTATTATGATTAGATTAAATAAAAATTCTTAAATTTACAATGTATTGAATGTCCATTGTTTAGGGGCTGTTCAAATGGGTTCAAATCAATGGGTTCAAATGATTACTTTAAAGATGTGAAGGCTGAAAAAGGTTAGGAACTACTGTCTTCTTATATTATTCAAAATGGCACGAAACCAAGTTTGTCTACTGTAATGGTTTTAATCACTCATTGCCAATGTTTAGAACAGAATAATCTTACCTCTCCCATGAACATAATAAAGGTATTAGTAAAGGGTTTCTACCCCGATGTTTAGTAGGATCTTCCTCTACATCTTTTAAACATTTACTAGAACATCTGTGAGGTACTAAAATAAAGACAATATTAATCAGGAACTGGGTAAAATATATAGTCTATGGAATCTTTATTGATTATTCATTCAATCATTTCATTTCAACCATAATAAAACCCAAGATAAGCCACAATTACAATAGTAAACTCACTCAATCTTTTTCTAGTTTTATCTTTAAGATCTAATATAGTATTTAATCTTTCACCTCTAGCTTCTTCATCTACAATATAAAATAATAAGTAGTTTTCAAAACAAAAAATAGCCACTTTTCCTTCTTCAAAAAAGCCCCTTAGTGGCGAAAAAAGAAATAGATGGACCAATCTAAAACCGGATAGCTATTTGGTTTGTTTTCGATGATATCTTTCTGTTTCTGTTAACAAATTACTTACCAATATCCATGGACTCCACGGAAGCTAATCTTTCTTGTAATACACTGGCCATATCTTGACTTTGTACTTTATTACTAATACTGCTAGTTTGATACAGATCTACAAAATATTTCAAATTTAATATAAATTTGTTTTAATAAAAAAATTTGTACTATATGCAATGGCCATGGCATCAGAATTTTATTTGGATCCCACCCAGGCTACCTTATTGCATTGTAGACAATCCAACTCACTACCAACTGAGCTTTTCAACAGTGTCCCAACCCAGCGTCAGTAGGAAAGTCAATGCAATAAGTTCATTTTATCATTTCAAAATTATAGTCTTAACTGGCAGTATATGCGCAGGGGTTATCCATTCAAACGTTAAAAAGTAAAGAGTTAGAATTTACTGACCTTTTGTATTAGTAGAAGTTCTGGAAGGTGTAGGAGCTGGAGGTATATAGGTAGCTTGTGGAGGAGCTTTACGTTGTAATTTTAACCATGGTGCTTGCCAGGTAGCTACTTCTTGTTTGAGTTGTTTAACACCACTAGTACTCTTTCTAGCCACTGATCTTTTATCCTGTCCTATAATAGAAACGTAATCATACAAAGACTGTGCTTGGAAGTCCAGATGTTTAAGAAATTTTCTTACTTTGAGAAGGATTTGATCCATCAGCACCTAATCACCTAGCATAAAAAAACCAATTCTCTTCCGACAGAGCTATTCTGCTGCCACTCAAGACAGTGTTCCAACCCATCATTAAAAGAAAGTTTTGACATTGATACAAATGAAATGAATGGAGTTTTACATCCTACTTTTCTGCACTATGTAGGCTTATGAAGACAGGACACAAATCAAAAGTTAAGACCTTCAAGGAGAGTTATATAGCCAGGTATGGGCAAGGATAGGTGAAAGAGCAGTATAATATGGAAACTAAAATGTTACCTTTTTCCTCTTCACCTCTAGTATATACTATTCTAGGTTTTTTACTGTTTGGATCATTTCTTCTACCTTTACTACTACCTTTATGTGCTTCTAAATTTGCCTGAAATTTTGTGATTTAAAAAATAACGAAATGTTCCAGTAAATGTTGAGAAATGAAAAGAAATAACATTAGTTGGGCAGAGTGATAAATTACAATTGATTATAAAAGAATATTAGCTAAAACGACAAATATATCATAAAATCTCAGATGTTTAAATCAAAAATTAAATCAACCTGGCTAATTCATGACAATCTATAAATTTTGGTATTGGTACCGTCAAACCAAATCCGTCACAACGCAGTACAACATGACAAAATAGAAAGAATCTTACGCTGGAGAAAGTTGTGTCATGTAGTACAGTACCAGTATGTATTCTGAAGAAGGCATTAAGCCAAAACGTCAAATAACAGGACAATAATATAGTTTTTATTGTTTCTATTTTTTATCCTGTCGTACAGTGTTGTGCCAGATTTGGACATGCCTTAAGACCCATGTTCATTTAACACAAAAAAAAAAAAATTAAATAAAATACTACCGGCTCCAACGAAAACTAAATAAAAATTCAAAAATGATGTTTTATTAAAATAACAAACTTATATAATACTAATAAAAGTATACCAAAGAATATTTACTATGAGAAAGGTCTGAAATATACATTTTCAAATAAAAAGATAGAATTGGTTTTTTGTTGTGTGCCAGCTTTTTGAATTTGGAATTATGACTAGGTACCGTCTTCTGTCGTTTGCGAATTTTGTTCACCATTCCCTTTAAATCCAAATCTTAATTATGACAATGATATTACTTTTACAAAGTAAACTCTAAATTGTTTCTGCTATCTAGTTCTGGTAAATCTATACCTTTGAAATTCTGAATATTTTTTGGCAAATACTAAGTCCCATCTCTATTTCCTTGACCTCATCTATAAATAATGAAATTCGTTCTCACATGGTGCAGATGAAGTGAATGCAGGCTTGGTTGGTTAGTTGGTAGATGAGAAGTTCAAGCTTACTGATGTCTGATGAAGTTAAAGCATACATGTACTTACAAGGGCTTTAAATAGAGGTTCTAATCTGGTGGAACCTCGATAGATCCATTCAGTACGTTTATCAGCTTGAAAATACATTTTAACTAAACTAGCATCAACTTCCATTACTTTAGCTGTCCACCTGCAAATAAATTATGATGCTAGAGACTTTGTGAACAATGGTGGAATCAAAGGGGTGGAATCAAAGGGGGGGAGGGGCAGCCCCAAAAGCAAATTTTTCAGGCAAAAATCTCATAACAAGGTTTGAAACTCTTATTTCACCCCCTTTCGGACGCAAACCTGGCTCTGTCACTGTTTGTGAAACCATATGCATGATAATCCTAAAAGCTATCCCTCATAATGTACCATATTGAGAACATTACATGTATACTGGCTATAAAAACCATTGTCGATTCTTTGCTATATCTCTTATTATCCCATGTTTGACAGTGATGTTTTTACCTGTATCAAATTATGCTTTGATTATGGTGCCATGTTTTAAAGACCAAAGCATAAGATATTTGACAATCAATCTTGCTCAGTTCAATTTTTTTTGAATATCTTGTATGTTAAGTTCAGAACAGGTTCTGTCTGTTCCAATCTAGGCATCATTTAAACAATGCGGAACTAATCAAAGTACTAAAATTTGCTAGCAGATTTATGAAAACATTAGAATTTAATTACCATCTTCCATTCCATTCTGTCTGTACACCTTGACCTTTCTGTAAACGTACCATTGGGCGCTACAAATAGAAAAAAATGAAATCATATCTTATTATATCTATCCTGCTCACAAGTTCCTTTTTCTTATTAGAAAAGAAATATTTCAAGAATTCTTAATTTTGTTAGGAAAACATTGGTAACCTATCAATTTAATAGAGGATGTCACAGCATGTGTAAAATCAGAAAATGCACATGTGCATATGATATAAATAATATGCATGATATCAATGCCAAGAAGTTTGGTTAAGGACCAGTTAGTAGAAAGTATTCTCTTGAACCTAAGTTGTTATCATTGTAAAATATAACTGGATTTTTTTTTGATGTATCTCAAAATCTAATGGAAATCAAGAAGTTCATGTGCCAGTAAAATTCTCTTACCTCTGGATATTGTGATAAGTAATCTCTAATGAAATCTTGTGATTCAGGATAAACATCTTCCCAGACATTATCACCTAACAATATATTGTAGATATAACACACTTTAGTTCAATAAGATAAATTACAAAAATATATTGGAAACACTTTATGGCTTTTATGGTCAGGTTTGTCACACATCCTAGGCCTCTAGTAGGGTGTAGACACATTTATATTCGATAGAAAAAAGTCTCTAAAATAAATTTCATGAGCAAAGATTTCGAAAAGCAGATTTTTTTTTTTCTTTAGGCTCTTTTACCAACAAGGATTAAGTCTCCTTCCAAAATTTGGGTTATAAATCTCTCATGTACTTACTTTGAGATACAACTTTGTGGATTTCACTTGCTTTGGTGTATTGTGCATACCCATCATCAAAGAATATCAAAAATCTGTAAGATAACAAATAATAGAAATAAGAATGCCAATAAAATATATTTGATTACTAACAGAAAAGATTGTGAGAAATTTAACATTCTTCAGTTGCCATTTTAAAAGTAACTGACATTATGGTCAAATATTTTTTAGCTATCAAAGCCTTTTTTCATCAAACGTGAAGAAATAACCACAAAACGTAGCAATATAGTTTCCTAACTTTTTTTAGAACCTTTCATGAATCTGAAATCAATTACCTTCTTTGGTTTTTCAGACTCGGAGCCTCAGCTACTATACCGGCATAGTAAGAATTACCACCAGGTGCTTCGTCATCACGGTAAAAAGCTGAAATTATAAACAGACTTGGTTTTTGATGCTCTTTATTCCAGCTAAATCTCTCTTAACTGAGGATTTAACAAAAGATCAGCTAATGGGTGAAATGAGGTCACTTTTTTTGACTCCTGGCAGTCTTAGGATATATAATTTGCCTGTTTATGTTTAACATAAGGTTTGCTGGGCCTTAGATGACTTAAGTCAAGATCACCAGACTTTCAAACGCCAATTGTGATTAGAACCCACGATAACCATGAACTAACTGTCCCCAGACTAGCTCAGTACTAGTAGCTAATCACCTCATGATGTCATTTCCTGTTTATGTTGGGCAAATGTACCTACCTATAACTCTACTACCAACTCGTAATACAATATGTATAGGATCTCTATAAGCTATATGTTTACCACTCAACATCTTATGTCCTTTACTTTCAAATCTAATACGATACTGAACCTAAAATACATGTCCATTAAAACATTAATAACAGCTTTTAATGGTCTGAAGGATGTCTCAACTACTACCATGTCTGCAATATCAGTTAACAGGAAGCCAATGTTTACTTGTAATCTACCAACCAATTAACAACTACCACTCTATACTTCTTCATTATCATAACTTACCGCTGATGTATTAGGATTATGTAGTTCAGTAACAATAGCCGGATACCATATATCATTATATTTCTTAGCATATATCAAACTACCTTGCTTTACTTCAGGCCTGGAGAAAAAAAATGACAATTAATTATTACATCAATTCATTCTTCGGTCTAATCAAAATTTGACCAACTTTTCCTTCCATTTTTTAAATAATACAATAACAGTTAAAAGACAGTAGCCGTTATATTTGGAAGATTGTCAATCGGATAAATTCTCTGTCTAATTTGGTATATTGTGTAATGTAAAAATCATTATATTTACCATTTTGATGGCTCATGTTCAGGTCTCTGAAAAATAAGATTGTAGATAGAATCAAAATTAGTCCAGCAATGATATTTTTGCTCGATATCGATACGATATGAACAAAACAAAAACAGTCCATAATATTAATATTCAAATAATTTTCCAAATAGTATAGTTATCAAGTTCCAAGCATTCCAGAGTAAGGTATTTACAGGATAGTGGACACCTAAATGGGCTAATGACAGAAATTGATGAAAAAGTAACTTTGCCAGAGGCCTTACCATCCAAGGGGCATGGATGGCTAGGATACTTAATAAAAATAGGACAAAGATCTCATACCTTATGGGTACCAACTGGTCGAGCTATACTACCAGGTGGAATTTGTTTCTGTAGAGCTTGGGTGAAAGCTTCTCTCATAATGGCCACACTGGGTTCTCTAGACAATTAAAACATTAATACATTCATGCATTACTCTGCTCACCTTATTCAAATTCAGGCCTGTATATTTGCAAGGAATTGGTCTACACTCATTAATTAATAACAAAAAAGACCCCTGTTTGGCTGGATTCAGTAAAATAGAGCAGAAAATTACAAAATCTTATAAAATTTTTACATGTATAGAATAAGTCTTGACACTTCATATAAAAACTTACGATTTTCTGTGTTTTGGAGAATGATTATTAGGATGAAGAGGGGTTTGACTGACTGGAGAAGATTCTGTTTTAGATGCTGCTTTCCTTCGAGCAATAACCATAGGATCAAATGATGAAGCTACAATCTTGACGTCGTCATCATCATCATCATCAATAGTCATATCTACTTTCCTTTGAGCTTCAGCAGCAGACCTGGCTGCATTCTTGGCTTTGTTGTTCAACTCCCTTAAAAGGTTAGTTTCTTAATTCAGATAATTTACGCCAGACAAAATTAGTTTAATTACTTGAAACATCATAGATATTTAAATTATGCCTTCATATTACATGTACATGTATTGTTTATTGGCTGCATGTATAAAAAGTTATATAAAAATTTTTTTAAAAAACATACCGGACTTCACTTTCTTCATTTTGTAACTGAGCTTTAAATTTCAATAATAAAGTTTCACATTCTACAAATATCTTATCTACATCTTTCTTCTTTTCTGAAATTCAACAAAAAAATAAATCAAGAACTTGTACATATATCCCTTAGCACACTCAGTGAGTGACTGATATATCATTACTGACCTTCTTAAATAAGACATTTTATTTGATTCATCTCAGTTGATAAAACACACAACTGGAGTATAACACAATCTGATCATCCAGATTGATGAAACATTTTCTAGAAAATCAGCCATTTATAACCACTGATGACATTTGCACTTTTTCAAACGTGATTGATTAAGAATGTTCTACAGAGCGACCCGAGGCTCTCACTTACTTTCAGCAGATCTAACTTGACCATTGATAGGATCTACGTCACTTTTCCATTGTGATCTCACATCATCTGATGTTATTACTTCTTCAAATATATCACTTATCAATGAATTCAAATCATTTAGCTTGATAGTGGACTCTTCTGCCATTGTTAGCTCTCTCTTAAAAAAAAAACAAAAAAAACAACAAATTAATCAAGTTTTAGATAATAAATAATAAACCTATTACGGTACCAACCCTCATAAATAACTTTCTTCCTGCAAACAATTAAATCATTGCAACTGGTCAAAAAATATTTCAGCAATGTTTGGACTTTTTTTTCAATTTAGCAACTGGCTATTTTGGATGTTTACACAATCATATTAAACTTACATTTATGATGTCTTATCAGTAAAGGGAGATAAATAATAAGTCTGAAACACCTGTCTCTACTCCAGGCTCTGATGGCTATTTTGACAGTTGTCGGGTGGAGAAGGGTCAGAAAAACTTGACCACGTTTTAAGGGGATGCCGGTGAGAGATTATTTTTAAAAAAAATTCTCTTTCATGGAACTGCAGACATGACATAACAAATAAGAAGGAATGAATAGAGGCAGATGTTTCGTTAACATTTTTGTAGACATTCAATCTTGAACTACGTGTAATAACAAATCAAATGTGCATAGACAAAGGTTGGGCTATTTATGTTACATTAAGATATGGATACAATACATCTCTGAATTTATTTTTGCATTTATCTGTCACTGCCTCTTTCCTTCGAATTTCAATATTTTCTGTGATAAACAAAACAAAGAAACCGGCTGCACTCCTTGCAGAAGTCATTCATTGTAGCTGTACAGTCACATAAATATCATTAACTATTATGCTTCAACAACCTACCAATATATTAGTGGCAATTACTCCATGGTGATCACTTGAAAGATAACAATTTCATTCAGAAAATTGCAGAAATCCAAAAGTCAGAGAGCAAAAATTAGAAAAAGCATCAAATGTTTCAAGAGTTACATCCCCTGTGTTTAATGTAGACACGATTATCCCGTAAAGACATGGTCCAAACTACTAAAATGATTGCCTGAAAATTTTAATATGGATATAAATTCCAATATTCCGTCATCTCGGCAGCCCCGTTGAGGTCCACACCTGCGTTTTACGGCAAAAGACCCAACCCAACTTTTAGAAATGACACTCATCAGTCACAATACAAAAAATTTCAGAATAAAAAAGAGTTGCCTCCCATTGATTGCATTTATGATTGTGAACGTCGCCTCCTGCTTTTACATACTAATGCATTGACCTATGTCCTACAAATTATTAAAGCACCCTCAGTCCAATTGTTAAAAAGACGTTAATATTCCTATAGTCAATTTCCATGAACATCTGAATTTAAATCTGAATCAGGAAAAGGAGAGGGAGCATTTCAGAAATGGTCTTGGCCTTTCATCTTAGAATTATCAATCTGTTGTAACTTAATTGCAAAGATCAATGGGCGTTGTAATTTCCGCTGTTCACATTTATAATTACATCTTAAATATTCTAAACCATCGATATTCCATATAATATTCCGACGATGGCCAAGGTTGAATCAATCTGTTAACGTCCAGTCAATGAGCATGGTCAAAACTAACTAGCCTATTGTTTGCTTGGTTCCATATTATAGTTCAATTCAATTTTGGCTATTTCAGCACATTTTATGATTGTGCGTAACCAAGTAATAAATTTATCTGTCCACAATTTACATTGTGACCATTATAGATTGTGAAAAAAATTATGAGTCTTGTGACCAACTACCTCTTGGCCAATATTCACCTCGTGATATTAGCCTATTACTGAGACCAATTTATTGAATTTCTGGGACCAAATTTTCAGTGACCAAATCAATGCGAGAAAATTCTGGTGACCAAAATTCTGGTGACCAAATTTTCTCAAGGACCAATTTTTCGCGTCCATATAGAAAATAATCTAGACTACAAAACAGAAATTAAAGGGATGGATCCATTAGCAAGCGGTCTTGTCAAAACCTGTTCAACTCTAGGACGTAGCATAATAGCCTACAGGTTTTTTTATGATTGACATAAAGCTGGGATTACGAGCCAAAATAACCAGACCTATAGAAGAATACGCGTAGGCCTATAGACTTCTTTAAAAGGACAAAAATGAAACGTATTGGAAACATTAAGAACTAAAACGAGTTTTATTAAATATGAAATGAGAGACGTGAAGACAAGAGTAATTTACTGACCGGAAACATTATCAACAACTCAGACAACTTGCCTCTTGTAGAGATTCTCTAATAATTGAAACAATATTGGAAATGTCTGGACGAAAATCAATCTAGTCGCGAACAGGTCGCTAAAACTTCTTAAAGCTACGGA